CATGTGGAAAGACCTATAGATTGAAAAAAATTTAATAAATGCTGATCAGGAAATTTTGACCAAATCAATAAATGCTGAGTTTTTTTTTTTAAATAAAAAATAAAAAATTAGAAAATTCAGATTGAGATATTGAAGCTCCCGCAAGCCTTGGGGTTAAAAACCCCATTTTGCTTAATATATAGTATAGAAGTATAGATGTAGATATAGATATAGATATAGATATAGATAGATAGATAGATTGTAAAGAAACGACAATGCTACGTAACTCAAATTTTGTGGCTCAAAAGTGACTCAAATTGCCAAAACGACGTCGTTTTGAGTACAGAACAACATAAAAATGGCCAAAACGACGTCGTTTTGGCCATTTGAGCCACAAAATTTGAGCTACGAGACATTTTCCGTAAAGAAAAACCATTAAAATAGTAAATAAAAGATTAAATCACATTAAAAAAAAAGAACCATTGAACAAATTACAATCACATCACATTTTTTCCATAATAAAAAAAATAAATAAATGAAAAAAGAACCATTGACTAACTACAATCACATTAAAAAAAAAAATCATTGAACTAACTACAATCACATTTTTTTTCTTTGTGAGTGTTTATGTTTATCTAACTTTAATCATATTAAAAATAAAATTAAAATAGTAAATAAAAAGATTAAATAACATTAAAAATATATATATATTGAACTAACTACAACAATTATATTAAAAAAAAAAAACATTGAACAAACTACAATCACATCACATTTTTCTCATAATAAAATAAATAAATGAAAAAAAAAACTATTAAACTAATTACAATCACATTAAAAAAAAAAAAGAATCATTCAACTAATTATAATCACATTTTTCTCTGTATGAGGATTTATATTTATCTAACTTTAATCATATTAAAAAATCACAAATAAAATTAAAATAGTAAATAAAAAGATTAAATAACATTAAAAAAAAAAACATGGAACTAACTATAACAATCATATTAAAAAAAAGAGCCATTGAACAAATCACAATCACATCACATTTTTCTTATAATAAAATAAATAAATGAAAAAAAAAAGAACTATTAAACTAACTACAATCACATTAAAAAAAAAAAAAATAATTCAACTAATTATAATCACATTTTTCCCTTTGTGAGAGTTCATACTTATCTAACTTCAATCATATTAAAAAATCAAATTATAATTTTTTATTCGCTAGACAAATCACAAATATTTTTATGCGCTATCAACTACAATATTAAAATAGTAAACAAAAGGAAAGTCAAGAAGGAGAAAACAAAAAGAAGACTTACTGTTTGCATACGTGGTCATTGAAGTTGAAAGTGTAAAAGTGAGAAGTCAAGAAGGAGAAAACAAAAATGAGACTCACTATTTGCAATAGGTATGTGAAAAGTTAAAAAGAGTGTGTGCATTGGAGAAGTTAAAAATACTTGGAAGAATTTAATAAGTGTTAAGTTTTTTAAAAAAAAATATCAAAAAAATTAAGAAATTAAGGTTCAGATATTGGAACTCCCACAAAACTTGTGGGTTAGAGATAAATATAAATAAATAAATAGATATAGATATAGATGTTTATATTTGTTTTAATTTTTTTTAATATAGAAATGATTTGTTTTGAAAAAGGTACTGCAATAATTATGAGAGAAGTCAAAAAGTCTTGTGGGTTGAGAGAATTTAATAAATGTTGAGGTTAAATTTTTTTTTAAAAAAAAAACAAAAAATTAGAAAATTAGGATTGACATATTGAAGTTCCCACAGGCCTTGGGATTAAAAACCCCCTTTTGCTTAATATATAGTATAGACTAGCATATCACATAGATATTTATATTTGTTTTAATTTTTTTTAATATACAAATGATTTGTTTTGAAAAATGTACTGCAATAATTATGAGAGAAGTCAAAAAGTCTTGTGGGTTGAGAGAAGTTAATAAATGCTGAGGTTAAATTTTTTTTTTTTTAAAAAAACAAAAAAATTAGAAAATTAGGATTGACATATTGAAGCTCCCACAGGCCTTGGGATTAAAAACCCCCTTTTGCTTAATATATAGTATAGACTAGCATATCACCCGTGCTATGCACGGATTGTGTTTACAATTATCTATATGTGTGAATTGCGATTTTTAAATGTTTTCTTCATCTTCTTCTTTTAAATGTCTTCTTTTTTTCCTTTTTTATATTATATTAAAGTTTAATATTTTGATAATAATCATATGTGTTGAACTTTTCAATGAATTAAATGTATTTTTTTTATTATATTATATTAAAGTATAATATTTTGATAATAATCATATGTGTTGGACTTTTCAAGAATTTTTTTTTATGTTTGTTCTTAATGCATTAAAGTATTATTATGAGAGATAATAATCATATGTGTTGGGACTTTTCAAGGAATTCTTATGTGCTGGATTTCAAAAAAAAAAAAAATTATACTTATTCTTAATGCATTAAAGTGTTATTATGAGGGTAAGACTTGGAGGTTGGGAGAAGTTACTAAATGCTAAGTTTTTTTTTTTCTTAAATAAAAAAATCAAGAAATTTAGATTGGGAGATTGGAGCTCCCACAAGACTTAGGGTTAAAAACCCCATTTTGCTTAATATATAGTATAGATTTTACCTTTATTCATAATATTATCACACTCAAGGCACGTCAACTTAATTTTGCACATCTTCTCTCCTTCTTCTTTTAATGACCATCCATCTCTTATTAAAAAGAATGCTAACAGCCATTGCATCAATAAACATCATTGCCTCAGTAAAGAGTATTGCATCGACGGTCCATTATTGAAATTTCTGTCGACTCTCGACAAAATGAGGAATCAACTCAATGGTGTCCAAAGAATACTGTCGGAAATTCCTGTCCATCATTACATAAAACTTGTTACAAATTCCTCTTAAGTAAATATCGACTCCCCATCTTATTAGCAACATTACCTCTCTTTTTCTTATCACATTTTATTGTTTGATTTATTTTGGTGTAAAAGAGGGTTTTAGAGGGAAAAATCCTAATGAAAAACACAATTTGGTGTCGAATATACAAAAATTGAACCGTTTGGCACATCAATGCCGAAAATAAATGTTATGTTCAGTTCAACAATACTGACTATCAACTAAATGTTTGTGTTCAGTACAGTGTTACTGAACATAATCTTAACAGTCGACAAACTAGTATCGAACAGTTCAAACAAAATAACAACAATTAAAAACAACCAAGAATGTTAATGCAAGACAGATAAACTTACCAATGGAATGCTAAAGTCATCAGAATTATTGTCATCGTCCTCCATTAGTAATACATTGAACTTGAAAAGAGTTTTCTGGTTCAAGATTTTTGGTTCAGGAAGATTTATGATGGTGATAAAAAGGATACATTCAAGGTTTAAGAGGATCATAAAAGTAACAGGTTTGGGATTTATGTTAGATGGTTATAAAGAGTAACAAATTTAGGATTTAGAAATGTGGAATACGTGTAGCCTCTAGCAATGATAGAGAGCTCTAATTTTGGAGCTCTAACAAAAGCTCAAATGATGTGTCAAGAGAAAAAAAATACAAGAATATAGGCACTTATATTACATTATATGTGGACTCCACTCCTTGTCACATTACTAAAGCTCCAAAATTAGAATTCTCAATCTTTATTCATAGCTAGAGATGGGGTGGAGGTGAGGAAATTCTATTTCCACACACCAAGTTTCCTTACTCCACATACTTAATGAATTTTTTTAGAATCACAAGTTTATCTTTTAACAAAATTACCGTATCACCCACCACCATCTCACCCACACATCTCACAATTTCTCCATACACATCTCACCAGCCACTTCATCGCCGACCATCGCATCCCATGCCCAAACCTTAACCATACACAACATTTCCAAGTGCTGAAGATGGATGACTATGTGGGGAATCCAGAGGACTACGTCGATGCGGCTGGACACGAAGTGTTGTTGTAGAACTTCACTGAGAGTGATGGCAGTGGAAGAAGAGAAGCACCACCAGCTTCAAAATTAGCCATATTGGCTTTACAAAACACTGAAGATTGAAGCAAAACAAGAGTCTATGGTGTGTGCTATATGTAAGGATTCAGTGAATGTTGGAGAGATTGCCAAGAAATTGCCTTGCGAGCATAGATACCATAAGGATTGCATTTTGCCATGGCTGGGTTCCAAAAATTCGTGTCCTATGTGTAGATTTGAGTTGGAGACAGACGACCTGGATTATGAAGAGGAGAAAAAGAAGAGAAGTACGGGCATTGGTCCTTCAAGTTCTCGTGCTTGATGTCTATGGCTTCGTCGACTCTCTTGGTGGTATGCATTCAACGTCCGTATTGAATTTTATTTTCTTTTTATTTAAATCGCTGGTAGCTGGTATAGCTAGAGTTAAGGTTTTTAGAGTAAGAAATGATAGAAGGAGATGATGTGCACAAAGAAAGTGAGAGTATATTTAGAATGTGAAGTGTGTAGACTGAGATAAAGAAATAAAAATCAAATTACTAAATATGTGTATTAAGAAAAGATGTACACAATGATAATTTAATGGGTGGAAATAGAATCTTCTGTGAGGATGGGGTTGGGTCTATAATATTGTAACTTTACCTTCGGAGTGTAGTGGTATGCGAATAGACAGAAATATCCATTATTGTCATTGTGTCATTTTGGAAACATAGTAAAAAGTCACATTTTTAGACAAAATGTCCAAAAACGTGGCTGCAAAAAACGCAACAAAATCCCTTTGGGAAGTGCCAAAAACGCAGTCCTAAAATTACAGATTAAGGCCTATGAAAAAAAATAAAAAAATAAAAATCTTATGTTAGGTAAGGGTATTTTGGTCATTTTAATTTGATTTGACACCATAAATAAATATTAAACTAAAAAGCAAAAAACTAATTTTTTACCAACTTCTCAAATCACTTCCAAAAAAATCAAAAAACTTGATAAAAAACAAAAAGTCAACCTTTTACCAACTTCCCAAAACAAGCCATTGAAACAGAACAGCATGGTTCAGTTGTTGGGTACACCAGAGAGCTGGTTACCATGTGATCACACCCTTTCTCTGAACTCCCATCGAACTTGATAATGGAAAGCCTAATTTCCAACACTCTAAATCGCCATTTGATCCCTCAATTCTCATCTTTTCTTTTCCGATTTCCTTCACTTTCCCGGGAAAATCCGAACTTGCTCAACTTCTCCCACAGGAAATGGCTTCATCATCCCAAAACGTTGACTTTCTGCTCTGCCACAGCCTCTGAATCACTGACCTATGGCGGATGGGATGACCCAAGACTTGGTGGAGACTCAGTTCACTCGGGTGAGTCAAACCAGCTTCGCAATCTTCTTAATTCTCTAGGAATCGATGACAAGAGGTACATCTTTGTGTACCTGTTGGGGTTTGTTTGTGCTTTGGCCATTTCTAGGGTTAGGGTTTCTTCAATTGTTGTGTTCCCAGCCTGTGCTATTGTTTTTGCTGTTGGGTTTTCGATTGGGTTTGTTAATGGGGGACATATGAATGAGTTGAGCTTAATTGGGACTAAGAAAAGGCCAAAAGATGAAAATCTTAAGGTTTCAATTGAGAAATTGAGGAATTTGGTGGATTTGTTTTCTGGGTTTGATGGTAAAATTAGTAATTTAAAGGATGATATAAGAAGAGGTATTGAGTGTAATCATATAACTGTGGGTGATTTGGAGGGTTATGTTAAGGTCATGGAATCAATTGGGTTATCTGCTTTGAATGCTAGAAGTGTTGTTGAAGCTTGTATTGATAGCTTGTTAGTTGAGAACCAAGAAGTGGAAAGAACTTCGAATCAAAAGTCAAGTAGGAGAAGGAAAGATGTGGGTGAAATTGGGTTTGACTTGTTGCAGCTTATTGGTGGTTTGTTTCGAGAAAAGTTGGTTGAATCCAAGCCTTATAAGATGAAAGATAGTTTTAGAAGGGACTTGACGCGTGTAGAGTTGAATGATCAAGGTCAAGGAAATGTTTTAACTCATGAAGTTGAAGAGAATGTTTTAAGTTCAGTGGGTAATAATAATGCAGGAAATGGAAATGCAAGTTTTTTCGGAGAGACATATAGTAAGCCTTCCCGGGAGGGAGCCGAAAAGTTTGCCAATGAAGCTAGAAGAATAAATGTACTTGTAGAACATGATAAAGTTAATTTTGCAGATGTGGGTAGTCATGATAAAAGAGCTTTAAACACCAAAGAGTATAGTTACCAAGATAACAGATTACGTTTTGTGAAAAATCACCGGATCTCCCTGAAGATGGGTCATCATAATGAAGTTGAAACGTGGGAATCCCATAATGACCGCCTTGATTCTGTGGATTTTGATGTCAATTTAAAGCATTTGGAAACACAGGCATCATTTGAACAAGAACAGATATTCCAAAAAACCAACGGAAGTTACAGGCCTACTGATAAGAGGGGGAATAATGTAGAGAAAGAAATTTACAAATCTCAGAGCCGGGAAGACAGAGTGATTCCCAATGATAATCCCAGTTCATCTTCAATGGTTTCAGATGATATAGTATTCAATAGGTATCTTATGGAATCTAATGCCCTTCTAAAAGAAGCCAGAGAGTGTTTGAGGGCTAAAGGAAACGAAGGGCATGTTGAAATTGTATTACACGAGTCTGCAAAATTACTCTCTAAAGCCATGGAAATGAAGCCGATGAGTTTGTTGGCTGTAGGCCAGTTGGGAAATACGTATCTTCTTCACGGAGAACTAAAATTGAAAACCAGTCGCAATTTGAGAGCTCTACTTGAAAGCCATGATCCCGTATCAATTCACAAACAAGGTAAAGTACTCAAAGGACTAGAAGATCAGATTGCGAGCAAAGATAAAATTGCATCTGTTCTAGTTAATGTTTGTGAAGAGTGTGAAGAACTGCTTGTTGAAGCTGGAAGAAAATATAGACTGGCCTTGTCAATTGACGGAAATGATATGAGAGCCTTGTATAACTGGGGTCTTGCCCTTTCCTTCCGTGCACAGTTGATTGCAGATATTGGACCAGTAAGCATTGTTCTTGACGTGGTTGGGTTGTTTTTCTTCTTATATTTTTTGTTAAACAACTTTGAACTTGAACAAGCTGAATTGGGTTTTGGAATCAGTCAATTAAAGGAATTCTTTCTTTTATAAATTTATTGACTATTGGAATCAGTCAATTAAAGGAATTCTTCTCTCTTTCTTTCTGTAAATAATGGAAATACAATACCTTCCTTACTGTTTCATTGACATGAATATGTCTGAAGTTGCTTTGATTAGACGTACGAGTTAACTTTAACTTTTATATTTCTATGTTTAACTATGTCTTTATCAATTTCAGGAAGCGGCTTTTGATGCAGACAAGGTTTTCTTGGCTGCAATTGACAAATTTGATGCCATGATGTCCAAAAGCAATGTTTATACGCCTGATGGTATGATAATTTGCTCTTTATCAGCCAAGTACTCTTTTGAAGAAATATGCAAATATTAGTCAAGTATTCTTTTTGTCATCCTGATGTGCTTATTATGATGGAAATTGGGAAATCTAGTTACTATTTTTTGATAAATGAAATAGGAATCGGTATAAACCAAAGAGAATGGAAAATGATTGGTTCCGTGGTTGTCAAATGTGCATAATTCTTAAGTCCAACAACTTCTTAAACTCTGGAATATCATTTCCCTAGGAACTTGATTGAAAGCAACATCTGGTGTACTTTGAATTGAAAAGAAATTATGGATGTGTTGCCCCATGCACCTTTTTATTTGTTGATATAAAACTTAAATGTTATTATAATAGAAAAAGACATCTAAGTTATTGTCATTCTCTTAGACAACAAGCATAACGTGCATGCAGCTTTAGGCCTCGTTTGGGAACAGGCTAATTTAGTAACTTTTTGGCTATTTGGCTAAAAAGGTAAGTAAAAAAAGCTTGTATGTTTGGGATGACTTTTTGGCTAATTACGAAAAGAAGTGCAAAAAGTAGAAAGAAAAGAGAATTTTTGACTTTTTGGTATGAGTTGTTAGCTTTTTAACTAATTTAGTAACTTTTTGACTAATTGACTAAAAAAGTAAGTCCCCAAACGGGGCCTTAATGTCTTTTACAACTTTCTTTTCTTACATTATAGTATATCTAACATGAAGATGAAATCAGATTTGAGTATACATTGCCTGAACTTCAACTATTGATAACATTGGTGGATTGCAGCTCTGTTTAGATGGGGCGTGGCATTGCAGCAAAGATCTCAACTATAACGTGCATGCAGCTTTAATGTCTTTTACAACTTTCTTTTCTTACATTATAGTATATCTAACATGAAGATGAAATCAGATTTGAGTATACATTGCCTGAACTTCAACTATTGATAACATTGGTGGATTGCAGCTCTGTTTAGATGGGGCGTGGCATTGCAGCAAAGATCTCAACTTCGGCCAAGAAATAGCAAAGAGAAGTTGAAGTTACTACAGCAAGCGAAGAGGCTATATGAAGATGCACTTGACATGGACTCGGACAATCACCAAGCAAGAGAAGCATTATGTTCATGCATATCAGAGCTCGGTTTTAGGAACTAATATTCTTCTTCTGTAAAATGCTGCCGAAATATGAATGCCCATTATTTCATTTTTCCTTTTTATTTCTTCTTCCTTTCTTCTTTTCTTGATGCTTGCCAAATGCAGAGCAACTAGGGTCAACACCAATTCCTTCTTGGCCATCCTTAACATAATGAGATAAACTTTGACATATGAAAGATGTACAAGCAATTACTTCACATATTTTGGCTCTTGTTGGATGTGCTAAGTTTTGAAGTATGTAATATAGCATACATGTAAATACGATATTGTTTTACCTGAATAATGTTATGGTGGATTATATGGCGAAGCACTCCATTTTATTGTGAGAAGTCTGATGTTATGCATTGTTTCATTACTTCATGTATCCACTTTGCCCTATCTATGAATGTCTGGTTGCTAAAGAAGTTAATTTTTTTTAACTAAAAACAAAGCTTTTGCTTGTTGGCTTACTTAGCCAAAAGCAGCTTATTTAGCCGAAGCTAAACGGGGCATAAGTGCAGTAATCGTAACCGTGTATGGTTGTTTCCTTTTGCAATGCAGCCAGATTCTCATGTCCTACTGTTCCAAGTCTCTTCGGCCTGATTTTGTAGTGAAGAAATGGCTTGAAAGAGTGGACATCCGGACAGATGATTCCCTGTTTTTTGCAATCAACATTATTAAAAAAAATATGAAAATAGATTAACATACTATAAATTCTAAAATTGGTAAAAACAAAATAAAATTTAAATAGACAAAAATTATCTTGTATTTTTCTTTTTTCTTTTTTTAATCTTTTTTCTCGTGAGATAGATCATTCATTTAGTTATTACTCAGCCAAATTCTACCGATGAATTTGTGAAAAGAAAAAATAAATAAATTGTCACATTCTCCAATCTTGATGATATATGTGGCCAGTATAATGAGTAAGATAATCCTATAGAAATATAGGGACAGTTTGGAAAGAGGTTAAAAAAGTCAACTTTTTAACTTTTTAATTTTTTTAATAAAAAAAAGTCAATTTTTTTAGCTAAAGAAGTTAACTTTTTTGTCAAAAAAGCTACCAAAAAAGTCAAAAAGAAAAAAAATTAACTTTTTACTAACTTTTCAAAACACCACATACTTTGTATATCAAGAATATCATTTCACATTATTTTGGTTTTTAAGTCCCGTATGAAAGCTTTCCTAGTGGGTAACCAGAAAATACCCAGAATTTTGTTTCAATGGTTAGGATTCACTTGAAGGATGGATCCCACAACAAATCCAAAATATGGACCATAGATCTCAATTCTTGACAATTATCTGGGTATTTTTTTTTGAGATCATAGACTTTTAGATAAATCTATCTGGAGTCTGATTCACATCTTAAAATTTTCAAATATTTAAAATATTAACAGTGATATAAATATTAAAATATTCAAAACTCATTATTCAGTACATCAAAATTCCCATAGAAATAACAAAGAAAACCAAAATAGTTCAAGAACTTTCAATAAGTTGTTGGTCTTGGCTTAAATTTGCCAGAAATCTCCGTTATTGCTTGAATGTATTCTCCCCTTTGGGTTTTTATCCGGCAATGCTCCGAAAAACTTTCAAAATTCCGGCGAATGTCACAATCCCGACTACACTATAGTCCTCATCAACAACCCAAGCATAATTCACGCGATGTGCAAGCGCTTGAATCATCACTGCCACCAAAGAACTCCATGGCCAACAAACAATCACCTCCGACCTCCTCGCCGCAGTATACCGCCCCGCTCCACTGCTCTTACCCAACCCAAACTCTTCATCAGAAGAACAACTAGATTGTGATGATGGTGAAGAGAAAGATAGTTCCTCAATAAATTCCAAAATTGCTCCCAAGTTCTTCTCTTCCAACCTTGCCTTCATCAACTGAACCAAGTCCTCCGGAGGACCACCGTAGTCAATGTAAGCCATTAGATCCCCGGCAGAAAGGGTTGTGATTGCTCCAACAACTGCCTCATTGCAACAAGCAAGAGTGTAAGGCGATATTTCTCCTATCAATTTGTTGCATTCATCGACAACTCCAATTGATTTTTGTTCGGTAAGGAGGCGAGAAATGGAGTCCAAGGCAGAGGATGCAGGGTTGTCGTAGTAGATAGTCATGATATCGGTGTCAATGATGTTGAGCGACTCGATTGTGAATGCTGGTAGTGGGGAGAAGACGCCGATGGAGTTGAGGAGGAAGCGGACCACGTCTTCTTGAGTTAGCCAACAATATTCACGCCCGTTGGGGAGGGTGGAGGAGACAAATGAGGACGTTTTGTTGAGGAGCTTCTTCCTTGAAGTGATGCTTAGATTGCTCTCAATTGGCACAACCAAGTTTTGGGTGCCTTCAAGTATGTAATCTATTGCCTCCAATAAGCTGAGAAATTAAGAACAAAGAAAACAAGATTTAAAGATGGTGTTTAACAAATTGACATGAAATTCAAAATAGCAGTTTTTTTTCCCCCTTCCTTAGAAGTGGAAGATCTAATTGCACTTGAGGGTGCCCATACACCAACCAAAAAAGACCTTGTTAAGTTGCATATTCACCCAAAATTGAACTTGCATGTTGTAAAAAAACATGAAAGCATCAATATGTATATGATTTAATAATAAAAAAAGGGATCAATATATGATTTAAAGAAATAAAAGCAAACATAGAAGATCTAAAGCCTATTTGGTTGTGTTTTTGTTTTCTTCATTTTTCATTTTTTGTTTCTTGTGTTTTTGAAAACAAAACAATGAAAAGTATGAAAACATTACGGTTTTCATTTTTTTGCAAAATTAGTCTCTATGTTTTTATTTCCAGAAAATGAAAACATAACATGTAAAACGAAAAAATGAAAACACAACCAAACATATTGTTCAATGTTCTTGAGATAGATCTTAAATTTGAGTTATTTACGAACTGTACAATTAAGGAGGAAATAGTAACTAGGATCAAGTATTATATACAAAGGAAGCTCTTGATGAAAATTCTTGTTTAAAAATGCAAAGTAATTGATATCCTTTATCCAAGAAACAATCTTTTTTTGGAAACATGTGAGGTAGAGATTTACTTGGTCATTAACTTTACTTGGGATTAGACGATATGGACTAACAAAAATAAATAAAATTTTTCTATTTTTTTTACCAAATCAAAATTTCAAAATTCAATCAACAGGATAAATCTGGCTAAAAGGGGGAAAGTCATAAATTTGGAGGGAAAAAAGTTACATCCACCCAAAAGTGAGCTGGTGCATTGTGGGCCTGTCCTACTATATTTTGAAATGAATCTGAACCACCTATTAATTTTGTATACAATTCTACACTCATGAAAATGTATTGATTGAATTCGAAAACAACAATCAATTAATCAAATTCAATTGACAAAAACAAACCTAGAATGAGGTTCCAAATGCCTGACGAGTCCAGGAACCTTCGGAAGGAGATCAGAAACAGGCGTTTGAAGGGCCAACAACGGATTCAGCAGATTCTTTTCTCCGCACAGAAAACAAATCACATCAACCAAACAAACCTTGCCGACGCATCTACAACCACCACTTCCGCCGCCAAAATCAGACCTCGAATGTTCACAGCTCCATACGCTTATATAGCTCTCGCCGGACCTCTTCAGCGCCGACAAAGCATCGGCGACGGTGGCGGAGATCGGTAAAGCCCTCAGCGCCGGCTTTCCAAGGCACAGATCTGAAACCTCGCGAGCCAGAAACCCAACTGCCATGCAAAAACGGATTAGATTGTGTGAGAAGAGAGAACTTTTTTCTTCTTATTGGTGTGTTTGGGAGGAGAGAAAATTTCTTCTTTTTTATTTTCTGTGTGGGAAGAGAGAGAAAACTTCCGAGAAAGAGATATACAGAGAGAGAGAAAATATAAGAGGAGATGAGGTGGTTATTAGAGAAGAGGAGGTGGTCGTTGAATGGTGATGGAAGACACATACCCATATTTAAAGGCAGGCATACCGCTATATACAGTCATTTTTATTATTTATTTTTTTTTAAATTTAATTAATTAATTAAAAAAATTTTGGTCAATGTGGTGACTCATATGTTGGTAAAAATCATTGCAATAATAATAACGTTCAATCTGCTTAGAAAATTTGAGAATGAATTTGAGATGAAAAAGAAAAGGAATCAGACTTGTCTTCAGTTCACAATTGGACAGTGTTGTTAGGCTTGTGAGACTCATCACGAGTTTTATTTTGATAATCTGAATTGTTTAATGTGTAAAACTTGTCGAGCATTTTATTTCTGTAAAAAATTATGTTGATTGGATATCGATAGTTATTTGATCGGATTAGTTTTTGTCAACAATTTATTTTAAAAAATATATTTATTGTTGATAGAAATTTGATCCGATCAAATATCTATCGATATCCGATCAATGTGATTTTTATAGGCAGAGTACTTGACGAGTTCTACATACTGAATGGTTCTAATCATCGAAACAAGACCTGTGTTGGGCCTCTATGGGTCCAACAACACGCTTCAGTCCGATTTCAGACTAGAGAGAAACCTGGGGCAAAGAAAAAAAATATATAAAACTAGATAAAATATAAGTATATTTTATTCACATTTCACCTACATTTTTTCTTTCTCTTTCTAAATCCATTCCCAAATCTCCTAATCAAACACAATGTTAGTGTATCAACTAACACACTAACTAGATACAATATTAGGTAGATCATGGTAGGGGGTGGAATTTACATATACGTCTTGTGTATGAGTGAGTATATTATTTGATACACTAATTAGTATTTCCAATATTACTGTCTCCCCTTGCCTTTTTATTTCTAGAATTTGTGATAGTTTCTTATGATTATGTTTTTGTCCACGAATATTTGTGAGCTATTTGTTCTGTGAGGTGTATAATAATGTATTTAGAATTTTTGAAGATAAAATAAATATTATTTGAAGGGATCATAATAATAAAATAAATTTTAAATTTTAAAATAAGTTGCACAAAGGATTAAAGTGTCCAACTAAAATTTTAAAGCGCATTTAAAGCCACTCTACAAGGTATTAAAGTGTTCAACTAAAATTTTAAAGCGCATTTAAAGCCACTCTATACGTTATCATTTACGGCTCTAGTACAGGGCCCGAATATGTAAGAGCTTGAATGGCTCAAAACTAGTTTCCCTTCCAAAAATTGATGCACGTGGAGCTCACGTGTTCTATCAAACTAATGAAACAAAAACAGAGCTCACGTTTTGGATTTTTTTTCTTTTTTCTTTCTCTGTTCTGAGAGGAAGAAGAAGAAGAAGAAGGGAGGGAGCTGAAAAATATTCTATACACAAATCAAAAAAAAAAAAAAAAAGCAACAACAACAACAATAACACCATCAAATCAGATCTTCTCTTCATCTTCTCCCCTCTCATCCCATTAATACAGCATCATCAACACATTAATACAGATCCTCTCATCCCATTAATACAAATCCAACAAATATAGATCTATTTCTATACACTACACAGACAGATCCAACAATCACAAAAACAAAAAAAAAATATTCTATACACAGATTATCAAAAAAAATAAAAAACAACACACATATATATATATATATGTATGAGAGAGAGAGAGAGAGTTAGGATGAGAGGACTTGTATTAATGTGCTTGCTTTTTCTTGCCATCAAAACAAATACAGATCTATATATATATTCATCTTCTTCATCTCCTTCTTCTCTTTCTCTCCCTTTTCTCATCTTTTCTCCTCCTCTCTCAGCTCTACCTGCTCTCTTTCTTCCTTGTTTTCAAAAAGGAAAGGGAACGAAAATAAAAGGAGGAAAAAAAAAATGAATTGTTTTGGGTTTCGAGCCGATTCGAGCCAACGAGATTTCGAGCCCTCAAATATTTTTCTATCATTTATAATTTTGGCATCATTTGACAAGTAATTTTTTTATTAAAAAAATTGAAAGTCAGAAAAGAAAATTATAAAGTTAAAAATTTAACCTTATTAATAAGGGTCACGCATCAATTAATAAAATTTAAAATTATCTTAATTAAAAAAAAATTAAAAATATTATTCTTTATTGTATAAAAAAATTAAAATTATCACTAAAAATAATAAGGAGGTGTGTGGATATTAACTTTTTTAGTGACTTTTCAACTTAAAAAAAAAAAAAGTGTAAAAAAGTAGAGAAAATAATTTGATAATTTATAATAACTTTTTTGAATACAAATTTAAATTCCCAAACGAGACCTTAAAATAATTTTAAAAAATCAAAAATTTATTATAAATTATCAAATTATCCTCTTTATTTTTTAATATGTTTTTCTGTAAAAAAGAAAATAAAAAAAGTATAGATTCTTTCCGGTCTACAATGGACTAGACAGTGTTGTTATGCTTGTGGGTCCATCACGGCTTCTATTTCGATAATTCAAATGGTTCAATGTGTAAAACTAGTCGAATATTTCATTCTTATAAAAAATTATATTGATCGGATATTAATAGACATTTGATCAACATATATTTTTGTCAACAATTTATTTTAAAATCATATTTACTATTGACAAAAACATGATTTGATTAAGAAATTATTAATATCCCATAAATGCAATTTTTTTAAAGATGAAGTGCTCAACAAATGGTACACATCGAACAATTTCAATTATTAAAATAAAATTCAATAGCACCACAAAGTAAATTAGAGAGAAGCGTCATCCATAATAAAAAATAAAAAATAAAAAATCCCTCCCAAACACGCCCTAAGTTGCCAAACGCAGCCTCGTCAGCTTTCGACCTTGAAGCATGAAAACCGTGAGCGGACAGTCCACCTCCCACCTGAACGTTCGGAAAACATCGCTAAAGTGAATTTTGTTCAGGATCCATGGACTCACATCCCTCATCTAGCTTAAAAAAAAAATAATGATAGGGATTTAAAAATTTTATAAAAAATTTTATGAAAACTAAGGTCCGTATAAATTCTTGTATAAGATTTTTAGTATAATTTTTAATAAAATTTTTAAAATCTCTTATATTTTTGAAAAAAAAGTACTCTATTTCCCGAAGCTTCTACATTCAAATAGTAGTTGCGTTTGATATTTCCTCATCTCATTTTATTGATCTATATTTTTATTTTAATTTATCTTAAAATATTTATCTACTTTTTATTTTAGAATATTAAATTTTGTTAAATTGTTTCTATAAATTATTTTAAATACATTTTAAAATTCAAATAAAAGGACAATGGTAAGAATTGTATGGGTATTTTTCTAACCACACTGCCCGCCTAGTAATCAGCTGGAGAGTACCGGCAGAATAGATGGCTTCAGCAAACCTGTAACAGAAAGAAAAGGTTCCGACGGTGGCTCTTCCACCCGAGGGCACTCCGACGATCAAGTCAGTATATCTCTCAAAGATAATCAAGTGCTAAACTCACAAGCTTAAGCATAAAACTGTGTACCTTAGACTCACGAGGGTGCCTGTCTTTTATAGCCAACTCAATCCTAGTCCCACTAGAAGCATGACTTTTATGGACTCCCATTCAGTACTTACTTTGGATTCCTCAAGAGATAAAGATAAATTCCCTAAGAGCTTTATCCTTATCTTTGCAAAGTCTTCTCTTTACTCTAGGATTCTTGTCCCTTATCTTCTATCCATTTATCTCGGATTCCGATATCTTCGGAGATAACCTCGGCCTTGCTGAGATAACCTCAGCGTCACAACCTGGACACGTGACACCTCGGCTGACACGTCGGTGTCACCTTGCCACGTGTTGGTATTCAGAAAATACATCCCCACAACTGCCCCATAGGTTCTATTACCTTGGCATTCTGAGGTGATGGAACCTATATCTGTATTGTCTTCTAGTACCTCGGTGTAAGAACTCTTCGGCCGAGATTGTCAAGCCGATATGTCTTGTTTTCAAGAACAAGAACTCGAATGAACTTTCCCCCGCGTATGAGCTGTCATGCATCACTTCTTAACCGTTTCTCTTACGCGTCTTTACCTTATTGGTCCGTGTTTGTGACGCGCTTATAAACCACGTTTTCCCTACGTACGCCGCTTGACATATGCGCTGCTCCAGGCGCATTGATTATCTTTTGCCGCCGTTTTTAGTTTTTGACAAAAACTCTTCCTTTTTCTTTCATTTTTTCGCTACTGCATTTGCTGTTTCTCTCTCTAAACTCATTCTTTCGAATCCGCCATTGCTGAAGCTTCCAAGCTCTGTTTTTGTCTTCCTAGTGGAACTTTCGTCATTCTGCCACATCTGTAACTACCGACTGATTTCGGCAGTCCTCACATCGGCTTCATTTTTTCTGGTAAGCAACTGTTCATTCTGATTTCAATTCTTGATCATTTCTGGAATCTCCTGTTATTACTGCCTTGCTCAAATATCTATTTTGTGAATCATTCATCTGAATGTGTTTACTCTTTGATTTGGCCCTTGCCTATACCTTGAACACACGCACCGTTGCACCACTTCACTGTATTTTTGCCACTGATCTTGGTCCTTTATTTCTCGTATTCTTCAAGTTCTTGATAGTCCATCCCTGTTCTTGTTTCTGAAACTTCGCCTTTGTTTTCTGTTTTTTGTGTCTTTGCCAGATCTCTACCTTCAATTTTTACTTTCAATCTTTACCTTCATAGATTTAGGTTTGGGATTTGTCTATAGAACCTATCAATTCTTAGGAAAAAACTGAAACAATCCTTACCAGCATATACCTAGGGTTTCGCCGAGGTCCGATAATCCTCTTAAAAGCATCTTCTTTCTGAAACCTAGCCCTTTGATTTTAGGCCGACGTTATGGGTATGCGGAGACATAGGATAGACACCCCGACCAAACTTGAGTACTTTAGGCAAGAGTTCTCTATTCCTGCCGATGTCCATCTGAGGCTGGCTGAAGATAACGACTCCATCATGCCCACAGATGATTCAATGCCCTTTCCCATAGTAGCTTTTACTGAGTGCGGACTCCGGCTCCCACTTA